CCTCCAACCCCCTCCTGGGTTCTCATGTTACAAGCTCAGGTATGTTCCCTTGGGCCGGCTCCCATCCCCCGATGCAGACCATCCTAGTCACACTCCCCTGTCAGCATTCACACACCCCAGCAAGAACAGTCCCAGTTCGTCACAGAGGGTGGCCGAGGGGGCAAGAAGGCGAAGCTGGTGGCTCAGGGCGGCCGAGGGGGCAAGAAGGCGAAGCTGGCGGGTGAGGGCGGCCGGCAGGAGGGGGAGGATTCGGCCGAGTTTGTGCGGTTCTTCCCGGCCTTCGTGTGGGCCGTGCGGGATTTCACGCTGCAGCTGGAGCTGGACGGGCAGGAGATCACTGAGGACGAGTACCTGGAGAACGCCCTGAAACTAAAGCCAGGTAGGGGAGCGGTGCTGGCCCCAGTGCTCCAGGGCAGCGTTAAGGGGCGCTCTACTGCAGGGGGTGGGGTGGGGGCTCTCCCCTGGCTGTCAGGGCTGGCCCCAGGGCTGTGCTGCCGGGGGGTGACTTTTGCTCAAGACACAAACCCAAGCCGTTGACACCTCACAGGTGTTACCAGTTCCTAGGAATTGGGACTTTCCCTGTCCTGGCCACGTTCCAGCTGGGATGGTTTCCTGGCTCCCCTCAATCCCCCTCCCCTGGATAGCAGGGTCTCTTCCTCCCATGGGAATCTGTTCATCAGTCGCGCGCTGCCCCCCAGAAGCAGTCACATCTTGGCTAAGGGCTGTGCCCGGCTCCCCACTCTTGCCAGGCAGCAGCAAGCAAGACCAGCACTACAACTTGCCCCGAAAGTGCATCCGCCAGTTCTTCCCGGCCCGGAAATGCTTCGTCTTCGTCCAGCCGGCTGGTAGGAGGGATCTGCCCCGGCTGGAGGAGCTGCGGGAGGACAAGCTGGACTCCGAGTTCCGGGAGCAGGTGGCCCAGTTCTGCCGCCACGTCTGGGAGACGTCGAAGCCCAAGACCCTCCTGGGTGGCCACGTGGTGACTGGGGCCAGTGAGTGTCGGTAGCCCTTGGGCCGGGGGACACTGGGGCCAACGGGGCTCATGGGGTGCTGGGCGGGACAAACCGAGCTGGGAGAGGGTCCCCTGTGGCCGCCACTGGTGGGAGTGACGCAGGAGCCTGCGCCCAGCTCTGGGGTGTGCGGTTAGAAGGGGCGCCGGAAAATCATCGAGGGGTGGAGCAGAGGACTGGAAATGACCCGTGGGGGGAGAACAGGGCGTGAGAGCCAGACAGAGCAGGTCTGGTTAGCGGGTCCCAGGGAAGATGATGGGGAGAGGCCAGGCTGTCAGGGCGGGCACGTCTCCCCAGGGAGGGACGCCTGGGTCCCAAAGGGCAGAGCAGGGTCCTGCGGCTGGGGGGTGAAGCCAGGGACATACCAACGAGAGACAAGGCACCAATTGCTCAGGGGGACGGGGACAGGGGGGCATTTCTGGCTGAGATCTGTGGCCTGGGACACATGGGGGAGGGGCAGGTCCAGGGGAGCAGCCGGGGTCTTGGAGTGTGTGGGAGGGGCTGGGTGGGGGACGCTGACCCTGTCCCCCTTTGGCCACACTGGGCACCCTGATGATGAGCATGTCCCTCTCTGGCCACGCTGGGCCCCCTGGCGCTGCCCCTCTGGCCACGCTGGGGAACCTGGCGCTGACCCTGCCCCCTCCGGTTGCGCTGGGCCCCCTGGCGCTGACCTTGCCCCTCCGGCCACTCTGGGCCCCCTGGTGCTGACCTTGCCCCCTCCGGCAGTACTGGGCCCCCTGGTGCTGACCCTGTCCCCTCTGGCCGTGCTGAGCACTCTGCCCCCCTCCGGCACTGCTGGGGAACCTGGCGCTGACCCTGCCCCTCCGGCCGCGCTGGGGAATCTGGCGCTGACCCTGCCCCCTCCGGCAGTGCTGGGGAACCTGGCGGTGAGCTACGTGAATGCCATCCGCAGCGGGGCGGTGCCCTGCATGGAGAGCGCGGTGCTGGCCCTGGCGCAGATCGAGAACTCGGCGGCGGTGGGGGAGGCCGTGGCTGTCTACGAGGAGCAGCTGGAGTGGCGGGCGGCGCTGCCCACGGAGAGCGTGCAGGAGCTGCTGGAGGTGCACGTCCAGTGCGAGCGGGAGGCGCTGTGGGCGTTCATGGCGCGCGCCTTCATGGATGACGACCGCCGCTTCCAAGGGGAGCTCATGGTACGGCCCCTCACGCCGGCCCCGGGGGTTATGGGATAGCTGCCCCTCTGTGGGATGGGGGGGTGGGGCTCCCTTGCACCCTGACCCCCTTCCATGGGGAATCTCCCAGCCCCAGTGTGACGGGTTCCCCCCGGGGAGCCACCCGGAATCGGGGTACCACAGAGCCCCCTGACCCACCAGCCTGGGCTCCCTCTCACACCGTACTGCTGTGACAAGCTGCAAAACCCACAGCTGCACTTCCACCAGCATCACACAGGTCAGGACACACCCAGCTGCCAGCGCCGGCTCTACCTTTCTTGCTGCCCCAAGCGGCGAAGCAAACAAAAAAGCGGCCGCAGCACTGCTGCCGAAGAAGAAAAAATGAAAAAGCTGCCGCCGAAGTCGGAGTGCTGCCCCAGACCAGACGCAGAAGCGCCCCTCCCAGGTGGCCGCC